CCAGGTGCTGCGGACAGTCCGAAACTCAGCCTTGTGAACTCAAACTGCCTGTGTGCAAGCCCTAGCCCTTCCGGTAATATAATGGCAGTTTTTGCCTGATCATCTGGATGTATTTCCACATTATGATAACCATGGGCCAGATCAAATGCGTGATACATCTTTTTGCCTCCCATATGCTGTAGTAGGTCTTGCACCCTGGGTATTGGTGTAGCTGGTACCCTTGTTACCGCATTCAGAGCCCTGTAATCAATGCATACCCTTACCTCTCCCGTTTTCTTCATGACACATAATATAGGGGATGCCCATGCTGACTGACTTGGAACTATTGCTCCTTGTTCCAGGTACTTCTTGATGGTTTCCATTACTGCTTGCCTGTAATGTAATGGTATGGGCCTAGCTGTTTGTTTGATTGGAGCATGATCCCCTGTGTCTATTCGGTACTTGAGGTAGGTACATTTTCCAAACGTGGTGTTATCCTTAGCGAACACGTCATGGTGTTTCCTGAGTTTGTTTTCAAATATTTTCTTTTGTGTTTCAGATAACAACTCACTTTTGTCCACCAACGTCTGCAGATCTGCTGGTAAAGGCTCCTCTTCTTTGATGGGCGGCATTGAAGGCTGTGTGTTGTACTCTGCATCATGGAAAGGCACTGTGTCATGGTTGATTACGCAAACCTTGACAGTGTCTTCCTCTTCCGCGCCTTCTGCTTCCAGGGTGTCTTTTTCTGTGTTATGTTCTGTATTTCCTTCCTCATACTCCTCAGGATGAAGAATAAATACTTCCCCTATTACAGCATATTTTGGAATGGTGACGCATTTGTCCCCAAAGTTTTGTAACATTATTTTTATTGGTGCTGTGGTGCAAGGTACGAGTCCAGACTGTGCTATTACGGCGGGTGGTAATTTGGACACTTTGTTTCCAAATGCAGGGTTCGATACGAAAACCCCTAGCTTTATCTCCTTCTTCCCAGACGATCGGTCTTTCGATTTATCTGCTTGGGATCCCTTTTCATTCCCTCCAGAGCCTAACGGATCCTTTGAGTCAGCGTGCTCCAGTTCCGGTGCCACCCTGCTCTGGGTGTGACACTTTTCCTGCGAACCCTGACCCCTTGTCCGTTCACTGCCTGGCAGGTCGTCCACCCTTTCCCTGGTAGACTCATCGATCG